TCGAGGGAGTTAGCTTGCAGCACTGTGAGCGAGCGTGCAGCGCTGCAGGCACTGATTACACTGGCGCTTTACAACGCCGTACTCGCTATGCTCTGGGGGGTGTTTTTTCACACCCCTGAGCGCAGCAAGTTGCAGCTCTGTACAGCGCCAGTGTAGCCAAGGTCTCAAGAACTAGTAGGCATTTCGGGCTGGGAGATAGAGCTCACAACATGTGGTAAGATTTTCCCCTCACATCTTGAAATCTCTTCTCCAGTGTGGAACGAATGTTGGTCTCGATGCTGGTGCGTTTCTTTCTCTTCCGCCCGAACATCTCGCTCACCGAAGGGTAGGAATTAGGGGTACTCACGGAGGAGTCCAAAGGAGTGGATTCTGGGGAAAAAGAGGGAACAAAGGGATTCAAGACGATTTGGCAGCAGATATGTTCACGTTGTGAGGTGTTTTTTTTCTGAAGCTGACCACCTGTGACAACCTGCTGTCCTTGAAACTGAAAATGCCAAGAGTTTGTCCAAGCCCCTGAGGCAAAAATGACTAAAGTCTGCAAAAGGGCCATCCCAGAATCCTGAGTGTTGGCAGCAAATGTACTGAACATACGTCAGATGGTCTTAAGGACCTAGCTAGAGATCACTCCGCGTGGTGCTAGGTCCGCTTGGGGTTTGCCACAATGATCATGAAGATTTACTCATGATTCATTGAGTTTTGCTCCTGAAAGCTGGCTGGGAACCACTACCCCTCCCTAAACACGTAAAAGATCCTGGCTCAGAATACTGTATCGGAACCCCTCCTTCCTCAGTGGTAACACTTTTAATGTTGCCCAAAATAGCCCCAAATCCCAGCTTCGATTGAGGCTGGTCAGAAAAGGTGGAGTGAATGTTTCCCCAAAATATTGTTTTCCACCTTTTTGGCGACGTTTCCCAACCAGCCACCTTGAGCATTACGTTTTCAACTGTCAGAAACCGGTGTCGCTCCACTGACTTCAATGGCGCCATGCTGATTGACACCAGCCGGGGATTGGGTTGGGCGTTTCGCCTCATGTTGCTGAGACATTCCCTGTTGCAATAAAATCAGCTGAATGTGTCCAGGTCACCACTGGATGGAATGTCACAGTCGCTCAAGTATATGTGGCTACAATGCCCCATAGTAGCTTTGCAGTCTATAAAGGATACATAACATAGGACTGCAGTGCTACAGGTAATAGGGTGTCTCTTGATAATAAATATCTAGCTCTCATAATCATGGTTCATCAGCAGATCTCAGGGCACTTTATAAAGGAGGTAATTCTCAATATCCCCCATTTAGAGATGGGGAAACTGAGGCAGAAAATAGTAAAGGGACTTGCCCAAGGTTACCCAGCAGAGTAGCCAGGAAAAGAACTGAAAATCTCTTGAGTCTGAGGGCTACACGCTGATCAAAAGAGCCCACTACTTCGCAAGTGGCTGGAATAATGGGATGCCCTGTCTGTGTGGCTTAGCTTGCAACACCATGATAACCGGCGATGGGTTCATGACATTCAGGGCCGGCTGCAGGCACAAGCAGGTGCTTGGGGCGGCCATTCCGGAGGGGGGCGGCACGTCCAGCTATTCGGTGGCAATTCGCCAGACGGTCCCTCACTCCCGCT